CACGGTTACCTCATAGCCGCGATAATCGACCTCAACATCATCGCCATACACATTGATATGCTGGTTCGCATTGTTGTACACCTGGCCCGGCCGAGGATTGCGCGCATTGCAGGCCATATCGTCGGCGATCATCAAAATGATTTGCGAGTCGGGTATGCCGAGCCGCTTGACGGACCGATAAATGGACAGCACATTGGCTACATGACGATAGTTAAACCAGAAGCGAGACGCATCCACCAGCACCGCCCAGTTGTTCGTGTGCGTTGAGCGCTGGGCGGCGTCCACATAAGCCTCCGGCAGCATCGAGGTCTCCTAAAAGACAGCAGCAGCAAAAACAATGATTCACTGAAGGTACACACTCACGCTCTTTCTCTCTCTTGTGTACTTACATGCTCAGCGGCGCAGCTATAAATAATAATAAGCAACAATAAAAGCCCTTTGTGTAACATATTTAATTTAATTTATTGTTTTCTAATATATTTTGTTTGCCGGCGTTGAGCCAGCCCTGTTCCTGCACAGAGCTGCCAGTTGTGTGTGTTGGGCAACAGCTGATGGTGTTGCCAGTGCTGCCATTCACCCTTCTGGCAACGCTCAGCTGTGCAAACTAATGCTGTTAAATGGCTTAAATTTTTCATGCCAATTTATGCATACAGAATTGCCTTTATCGCCCCATTTCTGCCTTAAAACATAAAGTTCGCATGCTTAACTATTGAATGGCAGCTGGCAATGCATCCAAAGCTAGCTCTTAAGTTCCTAAAAAAGTAAAAGAAAAATGCCAATGGCGCTTTGAGACAATCCAATATGGCGTATAAATGACGCTACCATGTCGGACAAACAGACGAAGAGAGAAACGGAGCAATAAACAGCAAGTCAGCCGAAAGCAGTTCGTACACATGCTTATGTACATACACATGTGTAAATGCTTATATGAATGTAAAATGTACGTTTGTGTTTGTGTACATACATAAATACAAAATACAAAGACATTTGGCTTTTCTCATGGCGAAACTAAAGAAAATTAACCAGCAACAATGCTTATGAAAACTCTCCGAATTCGCCGCAAACATCTCACAATCGCGATCAGATTGCTCACTCTCTCTTCCTCTCTCTCTCCTCGCCATCTCTTCTCTGTTCTTAATGATTCTCGCTCTCTGATTCACGTGGGTTTCCAAATGTATGCATAAATATGGGTTTGGTTTCTCTTAGTCTGGGCGAATATTGCTTATGTGTGTGTGTGTTTTCACCATTTCGCGTTCAGCTTGAGCTTTGCCGGAAGTTTTCTTTTTATTTTTCATCCGTTTATTGTTGTGCATTGTGCCTGCACATTGATATTCGTATATTGTCGCTTCTGCTTTACCTTGAGATTCATGGCTGATAGCTGCGTGGCGTTTGTCGGCCATTGCGTTTTCCAATTTGTATTGCCTTCAGCGCTTACATACATACATATGTATGTGTGTACGCATACAAGTACACGCAATGTCTGTGTACGTATACGTATGCATGTACGTTAATGTGGCTGCCAGAGCGCACAAAGTTTCTACTTGGCATATTATTGTATGAACTTATGTACACGTATGTATGTACTTACATACATACATATGTATGTACTTGTCTATGTGGAAATGTATTTATGCACAAACACACAAAGGTGAATTTAGTCGAGTGGGCGTTCTATGAAAGCCTGCAGAAAGCAACTAGAAGGCGACTTTTTCCACCCATATGTACATGGGGCCTGTGTGTGTGTATGTGTGTGTCATGCGGTTGCTTTGTGCATGTGCGTGTGTGTGTCTATGCATACATAACGTATAAGTGCAGCAATTTATCGATATGTTGGCTGCCATTGTTTTCAGATCGTAATTTACATAATCATATTTTTTAATTTTTTTAAGGAGTGCTAGTTTATGTGACGAAACCTTTTTGAATAATAATCATATTAAATCTTAGTGAGCAAAATTAAAATTATGACAAAAACTCAACAAAGCTTGATCCTTGCTGCACAACAGTTGCCTTTGACTAATTAAAATATTTAATGAAAGGCAACAGACGCAACAGTTGTATCAATAAAATAGGCTAGCATTGAATTTAGAACAACGCAATGTCCTAGACTGAATCATCCTTTTGACCTTGACCCAGTTGAAAGTCCAAGGCATGGCACGTTCTTTTTGCATTATGCATGTATGCATGATATATGACAGACATACATATGTATGTATATAAATATGTAGAATAAAGACGTTAACACACCATCATTGCGAACGAGGCGCCCAGATATAATAGTCTATTGATTTTCCCTCTGCCCTTTGGTCTCGTCCAACTGGCACAATGAGGCATTTGCTGGGCAATTAAATTGGCCTTTAACCCACATACACACGCAGCTTTGTGCATGTATGTGTTGTCATGAAAATGAAAACAGGACTGCGCCTGCCACTTGCAGGATTCGCCACTTCACTCAGCGTCGCCAGCTTGAGCGGGTCACACAATAACAAAAAAATATATGTACATATGTATATGATAAATAAAAACAAAAGAGCACGTCGCCGTCGCGCTTTCGTTTACACCAATACCAATGCCTAAAAGAATAACGGGGAACATTAAAAAAAAAAACCGTAATTGGGTTTTGAAGTGCGTAACTTGCTGTGCTAATATTAGATGCACCCGTTCGGGACTTTGGCATTTTCGCCATATTTGAATAGAAATCCATTTCCTCTATCATTTCCGATTAAAAAACAAAAGCGACAGAAGAGAGAATAAAGAGTGACAGCAGCAGCAGCAGCAGCAGCAGTAGAGGCGGCTGCGGCGGCAGCAGCAACTGTTGAAGAAAATCAGCGACAAAAGCGATATGAATAAATGAATTTGCATACGAAAAAGCACAGCGAAAACTCAGCAGCCACATCAGGCGAATCAAAGTACATAATATTGTGTGCCATAAGCTGCTTGAAAGTCTTTAGTTTTAGTTTTATTGCTACCCCCAGTCGAAAGCGAAGCATTTGCTCTTAGCTCTAGTCCTTGCAGTCGATGTCGTGCGCCAGGCCAAAACCAGCAACGCGGCGGAGTACAAAACAAGTAAGCGTAGACAACTAGCCGCAGCGTATTGGTCGACTTGTGCATACCCTACACCAACCACCCACTGATCCACATTAACTGCGTGAGTTGCCATACATTTAATAAAGCTGACTGTGTTGATGCAACCGTGAGTGCTGCTTTTATGACAACATTATTCAGCAGTTAGTAGCGACTGTCAGGCGATAAATATCGATAATATAGATCGGCATGTATCAGATTGCAAAGATTGTTAGTTATTTAGTGATTATCAAATATTCTGTTTGTGTCCTTTTTATGGAGCGCGATTTTGCCGCGGCGCTTTCTAAGTCTGGGCTAGTGTGTAGGGTATAAATGTATCTCGGAGATAGCACTTACATGTGGTCGAGTCAGAGTCGGCGGCGAAATATGTATTCGCCGCTGTGACGCTCTCTTGTTCTCTTGTCCGCTCTCGCTCTCTTTGGCATGTTGTGCGCTGCCATTTTGCCTTGTTATTTCACTTCGTACCGTGTTTGCGTTCACAACTCTGTCGGTTCGGGTTCTGCATTTTATTTTATTATTATTATTTTTTTTTTATGTTTTTCTCTGCTTTGGATTGTGCAGTTTTTTCGTACATTTTGTATATAAAACTGACCGCGTTTCCATCGACTTTGAATTCTAATACGAATTCGAATTGATTTCGGTACAATTGAATAACAATAAATGCGGAAAATTCGCAAATGATGCGAAGGCGACTCTGAAAAAAAGAGAATTAAGTAAGTATCGTCGTTGTGGCTATGTGCCCTGTTGTGTTCCACTATGTGTTTGTGCGAGTGTGAGTGTGTGCATGTGCTGCGAGTGTGTACGTGCGAGAGCTGTTTATGTACATGCACACATACATGCATATCTTTGCATGTATGCGTATATGGCAAATCATTCGCAAACAAAAATGCTCCCATGCATAATTAAAAAGAAAATCAAAATATTTTAAATTGCTGCAAACCCAAACAAATTGGCCAAACATACAACGAAAACAAAACAAAGCTCAAAATTCAATTAAATTTGCCAATTTATTTATCCAAAACAAATTAAAAATAATCAAATGGTGCAACCTCTGGAATGTTAATCTTCGTTTCATTTGTGGCACATGTGGCAGGTGAATTGCTGCCGCTTCATTACATATCTTAACCCGGCCACCTGCTGGCTCGTTTAGCCCACCTATCTGGCCACAGCGTCCAGCCTTGTCCTTGCTCTGGAATTGTAGTGTTTTTTCATTTTACATTTTAAATTCAATCGAAGCGAAACTAAACCTTTTGTGAACTTTAGTTACACATTCATTCATTTCGATTTATTCAAATTCAAAGTGATAAATAAGGCGCTAAATATATGTCTTCAGTGTGACCAATTGTCATAGTGGAAATTGGCAAGTCCTTATGTTGAAATGTGTTGTATAAAAACAAAAGCAAACGAATTGTTCAACACAGTTGTCAAATTTTGCAAATTATTTGTTTACATTTTCTTTTGTTTTCAAATTGAAAATTATATTAGCTTAAATTAAAATGAAACCAATCTTATAATAATATATATAATAATTTTTAATTTCTGTTAGTTTCCTACGATCTGCGTGCAATTATTTTTTAAATTAGGCGGCATATACCCCCCCCCCCGGCTCGCACACACCTGATCCATTGGTGATCCAGTTTCGCCCAATCGGCAAACGCAGCACGTGCGGCGCTCATAAAAACGAATCAAACAAATCCTAATGTTATCCAATGAATATATACAATATTACGTTCGCAGTTTGGTTTTGCCAACTTGTTTCAGTTGTCTCTTAGCGATCCATTCGAATTCGATTTAATATTTGCAATTTGCAGCAACTGCCGCAGCCATAAAACATCGATTCGGCCAAATTTGGTGTATCGATGTGTTGTGCACGATACTCTTGGTGCTATCGATATTTTTTACCCCTACATCCCTGCGTGCGGCAACGCTGTGCAGCACACAGGCAGAAGCCAGATTTGATCAAACGGAGCAATGTTTTAAGCAATACTTAATGGTTGTTATTTTATTTGAACGTAATATAAAGTAAGTGTCGTAAATTTGGTTAGCGTAAATAAAACTGAATGAGAAGAAAGCAAGCTAGAATATGCCAAATCCCCGGGACTGCGGCTGCTACGTGCGCGTGTGCTTGTAAGTGTGTTTACAACTGCATTTTGCTTCAATTCTATTCATTTTAATTTGGAGTTTTTTTTGCATACCTAATGTAAAGCCTATAATGCAATTTTATATGTGTGCGTGTCGATACCATTTTTTTTTGTTTTTTGTTTTGTGCATTAATATATATGTATATACTTCATTTTGATTTTGTTATTTGCGATTTTCTTTTGTTTCCTTTATTCGCTGTTTGTTGTCGCTGTCATTTGTGTTTCTACTTCCACCGCCTTCGTTGCAGAGGGTGGTGGCGGCATCGGCTTGTCATTTTACGATGAAGAGCGCACTGCTTGCGCTAGTGTGTGTGCGATTGTGAGCGCGTACCCAGTGTGTACGTGTGTGTGTCAGTGTCGTTAAATCCGTTTTGTGCTCTATACTTGTGTAAGTGGAAGTGGGAAATGGAGGCCCATTTTCTCCTGTGCTGCTCTGCCTTTACAATTGCAGCCCAAGAATTGCACAGACCAGGCGAAGGTCGTGTTTTGTGTGCTCAATTTTCGCCGCAAATGGAAATAATTGCGCCCAACTGCTTGCATTTTGCCAACAACAATTTAAGAAACCAATTCATCCGCTCTCTTGGGCTATGCGCTCTTCATCGACAGGCAGCGCACAAAAATGGCGCCTGTCATCTCGCACGCGCGTCGTCGCTGTGTTTGCTGCGTACAATAAAGTGACAGGATCAGTAGGCAAAAGGCCAAAAAGTAATCGTTCCTTTTTCTTTTTTGTTTTCTGTAATTCGCAATGTGCTCTCGTCCGCAATTGACGCTAACAACGACGCTCCAAAATCGCCTGCTGCCTATTAATTTGCTGCGCTCACAATTTGAATGGCGTTATGTACGCAGCTCTCTCGGCGGCTCGTAATGTTAGTTTCTTTAGCAGCTGCTGCTCTTGTTGTTGTTGCTGCTGCTTTCAAACTCGTTTTGCCTTTTGGCTGCCTCGATTGTGAGGGCGGGAGGGGGGGGGGGGGTCCGCAAGCGTTAACGGGGTGTAAGTGACAGTCCAAATGGTACGTGTGTGTATTTTGCAGTTCTTCTAACGCCGCTTTCTACGCTTCCCTTTCCTGTGCCTGCCGCCTGCCGCCTGTTGCCTTGCCTTTTGTCTGTGTTGTGTCTTCTGCCAGAAACTTGGCCGCCACATGGCGTATGCGTAATATTTGCTTATTAAAATCTGACCTAAGTGAAAACCTTTATTAAGCTATGGCCTCGACCAAAGAAGTGAATGTTTTATGTTTAGTGAAGATATTAATGTGTCTTTCTTTCTTTGAGTCCTTAAAAAGGGTTAAAGTCTGTTGATTTTTACTATCTGTCTTAATAGCAATGTGATCGCTCGCAAATCTTGCAAACAATTCAAAATTTTGAATTTCCTTATTTTCCTTACAAAACTGACAACAAATCATGAATATAAAATTCTTGATTTTTTATTAATTTGGATATGTTAATTAATTAAAAAAGCAATAAATACGAAATATGTATCAGTTAGTCGGTAAAATATTTATTAAATGTGGTTTAATTTTGTTATTAAAAATATCGAAAATATATCCGCTTGAAAGATATGCTGAACGAAACCCATTCGGGATTTGAAAAGCTTTTCGTCCTTTCTAAAGGAATCGGGAAAATTTAAGATCCTTTGATCATGAAGTGCACAAGTGCTGATGTATTATATTTAATTGACAGGTAGTCAACAAATGGGACCAAATTACAACGACCTTAATTGTGTTAAAGTGCAGCTAGAGATTTGCGAGATTCAGGCTGAACGCGAGCAGCAACAGCTGCAGCTGGAGCTGGTGGAGCAGCTGGCGACCGACGAAGCGCAAGCCTCAAAATAGGAGCGTCGACCTCGTCGACAGGAGCGTCACCAGCACAGCCCAGTGACGGATCGAGGATGTCGGCGCGCAAACCAGCAGTGGGAGCGGTAGCGGGAGCGGGAGCAAAGCCTGATAATAATAATGCATCGCCCACACTTGAGCTGGAAGCGGCCCCAGGCGAGGATGGAGCAGCACCAGCAGCAGCTGGGGACGCATCAACAGCAACCACAGCAGCAGCATCAGCTGGAGATGCAGCTGAGGCAGCTGCTCTAGCTGATGAAGCTGTACAGGAAACGGATAAGAATAAAGACCAGGACACTGACCTGATAGAACGACATAGTGATCCCTCGCCACTGATCACAGAATGCGGCACGCCGCGCAAGTCATGCTCCGAGACACTGGCAGCCAAGAATGTGCGCGTTACGCGCCACTCGTCGCCTTTGCTGCTGCACAGCTCTTCGCCGACGAGCAAGCGGGATGCGCGAGAGACACTCGAACCGGCGGCGGCGGCAGCTGGCAGCGATAACGAGGAGCTGCCCAGTGGCAGCAGCCAAAGAAAGGGCTCAGCGGAGCGGCAAAGCGGCAATCTGCCGATAATACGCGGCCGCAAGTCCATTAAGGAGCTAAAAGAAGCCAAAGAAGTTGCCGCCAAGTCAGCGGAAGAGCTGCTGGTCAAGGAGGAGTCCAGCGATGCTATGGAACTCGATGAGCAGGGGCTGGAGCAGGAGCAGGCAGCAAAAGAGCCGAAGGAAATGAAAGACACAAAAGACAATGCCAATGCAAAGCTAAGCGACAAGGAGAAGGACGCCAAGGATACCCCAAAGGACTCCAAAGACAAGGAGAAGGAGAAGGAAACAACACCCACGCCCACACCGCCAGCCACAGCAGCAGCAACAGCAGCAGCGACAACAACAACAACAACAGCATCAACTCCAACCACAACCACGTGCAATCGCGTCACACGCAAAGCGCACGCCCAGGAGCTAGCGCTGGCCAACAACAACAACAACAACACGCGCGTCACCCGCAATCGGCGCCAGTCATCGACGGTGAACAATGAGCCACAGCTGCCGGCGCGCGGTCGCCGAAAAAAGCCAGCGCCGCCAGAGCCAACCAAGGAGCAGCTGCAGCTGCTCAAGCGCAAGCGCTCCGACGATGACACTGAACTGGGCCTCAAGTACGCCAAGGTTGAGGTCAAGGATGATGAGGATGAGTCCGAGTCCACGAGTGTCGCGGATGAGGCCAAATCAACCAGCACGTTGAGCATTAAACTGGAACCGCCGGACAGCGAGGAGCCGCAATCGCCTGCTGCCACGCCCACACCGCAATCAGCCCATCGACGCGGACGCGGCAGGCCGCAGACCAAGGGAACACCCACCACCACAGCCACCGCTGCCAGCACGCGCGCAACACGGCACAGCAAGGCGGGCTCACCGGGTCTGTTGGCCGCGACGACAACGACAACGCCCGCGGAGCCAACGCCGCCGAAGCGGCGGCGCGTGGGCTCCGCAAATCGCAGCCTGCTGGCCGCCAAGGCGGCATCTGCCAGTTCTAGTTCGCTGGCCGCCAGTTCCGCTGGCGGCGCTGCCGGCGACGAGGACTCCAAGGACAGTCTGACCTCCACCTCGATGGACGATCTGCTGCTGGCCGCCACGGAGATCAAGCAGGAGAAACTGGCGCTCGATTTCGACGAGAGTCTCGATGCGGTTGCCAAGACCACAGAGCCGGAGTCCGAGCTCGCTGAGCAGGCGCAGGCCTCCACCTCGATTGCAGCGGCTGCCAATGGCATTGAGCCGCTGACCGTGGATACGGAAACGGTGAAAAGCACTGATCAGGATTCACTGCAGCAGATCGCTGGCGTCCCGGCCGAGGTCGAGGGTGAAGCCGAAGCCGAAACCGAAACTGAATCGAATGAGGCTGGCAAGGCACCCTCGCTGAGCCCCGAGATGATCAGTGAAGGCGTCAGCGCTATTAGCGTTAAACAGTTTTACAAGAAGCCCGAGTTTCTGGCCAACAATCTGGGCATCGAGAAGGACCCGGAGCTGGGCGAGATTGTGCAAATCGCAAGCGAGACGCAAACAGCAACTGTTGTGGCAGCTGCAACAGCAGCAGCAGCACCTCCTGATCAAGAGGAGCCTCTCCAGGCAGACGGGCTTGAAATTGAGCTCGAAACGGAAACGGAGGCGGAGCCAGAGGTAGTGGCAGAGAAGGAGCTGGAGGGCAAACTGAACGACTCCTATGCTGGGAGCATGGGTGAGCTGCGCGTGGACGAAAGCGGCGATGAGACGGAGCAGGAGGCACAAAAGCCGACAACAGCAGCTGTCAGCTCGCCGGGCGAGCTTAATGGTGGGGTCGAGGAGCTGCCGGCCAAGACAGATGACTATGATGACTTTGAAAGCGAGATTATGGAGCAGCTGGCCAAGGAGGGCGTCGTGGATGCCAGCGGTAACGCGCTAAGCGCCAGCAAGCTTCAGCAGGAGCAGGACCAGGAGCAGCAGCAGCAACAGCAGCAGTCATTGGCAACCATTGAATGTGATAAGACCCAGCTGGCGGCGGAGCTGGATGTGCAAGCCACAAAGAAGCTGCCGCCCGCTGAAATGGTGCTAACCTTGGAGGTGGAACCATTGACCGAGGAGCAGGAAGCCGAAGCGAATGCTGTGGCCGATGATGACACCGATATGCAAATCCTGACCGAAGACTGTGCCGAATATCCCGAGGAGAACAAGGAGAATGTGTCCACGGCCACAACAGATGCCATTGCCGTTGCCGTGGCATCTGCCGTCAGTCCAGATGCCGTCATGGAGCTGGAGCTGGCGCTCAAGACAGAAGATGGCCACGCCGCCAAGCTCGAACAGGAACTGGCCGATCTGGAGGAGGAGAAACCGCTGGCCGCCGTCGCAGCCGAGCAAAAGCAATTGCCCAAAACTGAGGCCAATGGAAAACTCAAAAAGCTGACGGATGGCGACGATGAGCTGCGTCGCGAAAAGGAGCGCCATCTGCAGCATCTCGGCCTGCTGACCCACCAGGCCGCCGAGCAGCTGCGCCAGGAGTACATACACACGCACACGCGCGCCGTCCACCAACAGCAGCAACAGCACCAACAACAGCAGCAGCAGCAACAACAGCAGAGCGGCAAGCGGTCAGCGGGCAAAGGTGGCAGCGCCGCGCACATCGAGTCCAGCGGCACCCTGAAGACGGTCATCAAGCTGAATCGCAGCAGCAATGGGGGCGCCGGCGGCGCCACGGGTGTGCCGACCGGCACAGTTATCCACGGCGGCGGCCCCGTTACAGGCATCAGCACAACGGCAGCTACTGCTGCAGCTGCTGCTGCTGCCGCCAGCAGCATGGGCAGCGCGACACGCAAAGGCGGCGGCATCGCTGGCAATGCGGCCAGCTCGGCGCACGGTGTGCGTCGCCAGTCGCTCAAGATGACATTCCAAAAGGGACGCGCACGCGGACACGGCGCTGCCGACCGTGCCGCCGATCAGCATGGCGCCCATGCCGAGGACTCCTACTACACCATACAGAACGAGGTAAGCCAAACAGGCAACAGAGACAATCGCAAAATAACAAATGCTAATTCGTTATTTTTCCGCTTCTTCCATTTGCAGAACGAAGGTGCGATCAATCGAAACAATTTGAATTCGGGTAACGTTGGCCGCAAGACAACTAACCGTTTTAGCCACACTAACAACCACAACAACAACAACAGCAGCAGCACCAGCAGCAATCAGCAGCAGCAGCAGCAACAACAACAACAGAAACAGCACAACAACAACGCGTCCTCCAGAAATTGCCTGGGTTGGTGCCGAGTGTTTTGGTGTTGAACTTGTTTTTGTGTTTGCTTCGTTTTGTTTGCTTTTGATTTGGCTCCCGGGGCTTAGGCAGACTTATCAGTTACATAGAAAACTATAGCAAGTCTTCGACTTGAGCAAAGCAATCTCAACTGGGTCCACGGCAGAAGGAACAAATATAATAAATCAATACATGAAGACTGCAAACAGGCTTCCTGGGACTGCCATAAACTAAATCAATTAGCCGAAATCAAACCTAAACCGAGCAATAATTTGATCTCAAATAGCTTGGCTCAACATAAAATACTCTTAAGGAGGAGACTCAGCCCCAAAGTATAAATAACTGTGGCCCCCATTTGTTGTCTTTATCTAACCATGTTTGGTAGATGCCAGTTTTGGCATTTATTGATGACAAGTTCAATTGTTTAATTAAAGTTGAAATATAACAAAACAAAATGTTTACCGGCTTCACGAATCTGTTGAGCCTATCTCTAGCCATTATCTGTCTGTCCGCCTGATCTCAGAAACTATTTAAATCATTCGAAACGAGTATTCATAAAATCCTCTTAAATATGTTTTTATATTTGTTTTTTTTTGAGAGGGTATCTTAAGTTGGCATGCTGCTATGTTAAATGTCTGCCACGCCCACATATTTAATATATATACATTTATAAATATATATATATTTATATACGCGCACATACACACGCACACAGATTCATCGCATTCGGAGGGTCATGGCGGTCAAGTGGAACACGGCTTCTATCAGATGGTGAAGAAGGATGAGAAGGAGAAGATTCTGATACCGGAGAAGGCGTCCTCGTTCAAGTTTCATCCGGGTCGCCTGTGCGAGGACCAATGCTATTATTGCAGCGGCAAATTTGGACTCTACGATACGCCCTGCCACGTCGGCCAGATCAAGTCCGTGGAGCGTCAGCAGAAGATACTTGCAAGTATGTCAGCACGCACCTTTAACTAGACATTTATTTATATACTGACACGATTTGTGCCGCAGACGAGGAGAAGCTGACGGTCGACAATTGCCTGTGCGACGCCTGCTTCCGCCATGTGGATCGTCGCGCCAATGCGCCCTCCTACAAGAAGCGCCTCTCCGCGCCCGGCCACCTCGAGACGGGCAACAACAACAACAACAGCAACAACGCCGGCGCGGGCGGTGGCGGCGGCAATGGCAACAGCCTGGACAAACATTTCACGGGAGATGCCGGCGATTCGGAGTTTGCAACGACCTCGTCGGGCGCCGTCTCCGGGTCGGCGGCGCAACGTGTTTGTGCTGTCAAGGATTGCGCAGATGCGGCCGGCCACTCGCTGCGGCGCAAATGCGTCCGCAAGAGCGTCAAGAAGTGCCTGCTCAACTTTGAGATACCGGCGGGCACCTCGAGCGTCTGGCTCTGTGAGCCCCACTACAATACGGTCATCCAGTCGTCCGGCTGTGTGCTCTGCAAGCGTCGTCTGGGCAAGAATCACATGTACCACATTACCTCGGTAAGCATCTCTCTTTCTCTCTCTCTCTCTCTCTCTCTCGCTCGGTGCAGCTTCCACTTCATGCCATTCCATTTCTTAGCAGGACACGGATCGCTTGGAGAAGGCGCTCTCCGAGATGGGCATACCCGTGCAGCTGGGCGTCGGCACCGCCGTCTGCAAGCTCTGCCGCTACTTTGCCAATCTGCTAATGAAACCGCCGGACAGCACCAAGTCCCAGAAGGCCGAGTTTGTCAAGAACTATCGCAAGAGGTGAGCGAGCGATTGTGGCTTCCTGTTATCCAATTATTAATCTGGCTTCTTGCTATTGCAGGCTGCTTAAGGTGCACAATCTGCAGGATGGCAGCAATGAGGCCTCCGAGGTGGATGAGGAGGATGCCAACGCCGGTTGCAGTGCCTCAACTGGCGCCGGCACGGCTCCAGCTGCCAGCGCCTGTGATGATGCCTCCAGCGAAATGCCCATGGTGGTGGACTATGATGGCCCAACGGACTCCAATTCGAGCAGCTCATCAACAACGCCCATCATCGGGCATGCGGTCAGCGCCAGCAAACAAATGTCCAAGCTGCAGGCGATACTTCAGCAGAATTTGGCTGGCGATGCGACAGCCACAGCCAACTCCAATTGCTCCTCCAATTCCAATTCCAATGCGAATGCCAATGCCAATGCCAATGCGAATGCGAATGCGAATGCGAATGCCAAGGGCAAGGCCGGCGCCGACATCTCGAATGTGCTGCGCGGCAATCCGAACATCTCGATGCGCGAACTTTTCCACGGCGAGGAGGATCTGGGCGTGCAGTTTAAGGTGCCCTTCGGCAGCAGCAGCAGCCAGCGCACGCCGGAGGGCTGGACGCGCGTCCAAACGTTCCTGCAGTACGACGAGCCGACGCGCCGCCTCTGGGAGGAGCTGCAGAAGCCGTATGGCAATCAGAGCTCCTTTTTGCGCCATCTCATACTGCTGGAGAAGTATTATCGCAATGGCGACCTCGTGCTTGCCGCGCACGCCTCCTCCAATGCCAGCGTTTATACGCAGACCGTGCGACAGCGTCTCAATTCCTACGATCATGGTCATTGCGGTGGCCACCAAAGCAATGCCAAGACAAATGCCGCCGCCTCCGCCGTTGCCGCCTCCTCCTCCGCCTCCGCCTCCTACTCCTACTCATCCTCCTCATCATCAGCGAACGCTGCCAACCCGCCAGCCAATGCCAGTCAATCCTGTTCGCCGAATGCTGCCAGCAACAGTAGCAGCAGCAGCAGCAGCAGTAGCAGCGTGCTCGCCAACGCGCTGACCATGCCCCAGGGCAGCAATAACAGCGGCATGGAACAGACGTCTGGCCAGCCAGAGCCCGTCATTCCGCTGGTGGAGCTGAACGATGATGATGACGATGACGTGGATGCGGACAAGGAGGATGCGGCCGACTATGCGCCAGAGTGCGGAATGTTGCCACTGGACCGACTGCGCACCGTCTCCGTAGACAAGCTGACCAAGCAGCTCAGCTCCAATGCGGTAACCATTATAGCGCGACCCAAAGACAGCGGCAAAGCCACAGCTGGAGCGAGTGCAGCAGCCGGGGGAGCAACAACGGCCACAGTGTCGCCAGCAGCAGCAGCCTGTGTGGGCGACGAATTGTCGCCGGTCAAAGGGGCGCTCCAAGCTAAGGATGCGCCACCGCTGGTGCCCACCAATGCGTCCAATAGCCGCAGCATACTCAAGACCAATCTGCTGGGCATGAACAAGGCGGTGGAAATTGTTCCGCTTCCAACCAGTCATCAGCAACAACAACAACAACAACAACAGCAGCAGCAGCAGTCGCAGTCCAATCACAAGTCCGCGTCTGCCTCCAACGAGAAGCCGCACAAGCTGCTGGACATGGCCAACAAGCTGGTGAGCAGCCATAGCCACAACCAGCTGCCGCCGCCGCAGCAGCAGCAACAGCAGCCGAAGTCTAAGCCGATGTTGGCCAACGCCGCGACCGCAATTCTGCAACAGCAGCCGACACCAAAGCCGCCGCCCAATGTGGCGCAGCTGCTTAGCTCGCCGCCGGAGCTGATTAGTTTGCAGCGTCGTCGCACGAGTGCCGCCAATTCGGGAAGTGCCGCCACGCTGCCAACGCTGGCGGGCAAACGGCTGCAGCTGCCGCGCGCAGCCGGCGGGGGCTCAGGTTCAGGCGCGGGCTCAGGCTCAGTCGGGGGCTCAGGTTCAGGATCTGGTGCGCCCAGTGTGATTATGCTACCGGATAGGCTGACGCCGCAGGAGCGGCTCGAGAGCAAGAGCTGGAAGCCGACGCTGATACCGCTCAAGGAGCAGCACAAGGTGCCGAGTAAGTCGCCAACGCTGTTCCAAACAGCCGACGGGCGCCGTCTGCCCGCCCAGGTGCAGGTCCAGTCCGGCGGCAAGCCATACCTCATCTCAATCATTGACTACAATCGCATGTGCATCTTGCGGCGTGAGAAGCTCTTGTATAACATGACCAAAACGGCCGCAGCGCAGCAAACTGCACGCCAGCAGCTGCAGCAACTCCAACAACAGCAGCAACAACAACAACAACAACAGCAGCAACAACAGCAACAACAACAACAACAACAACACAAACATCAGCAGCTGCCGACGCTGCAGCCGGGCGGAGTTGGCACCGGCAGCGCATTGCGATTGGCACGGCTCGCACCGAAGCCCATGCCGCCGCTTAGCAATCCACAGAATGCCAGTGGAGCAGCTGGTGGCGCCCAGTCGCAGTCACAGTCACAGGCGCAATCATCGCCAGCCAGCTTTCAGCCGATGCTCAGCAATGCGTTGGCAGCGGCAGCCGCAACGGCCGCGGCGGCGGCGGCGGCAAACAACAGCAGCGTTAGCATGGATAGCAACAGCTCCTGGCTGTGGAAGAACTTTCCGGATGCCAATCAGTATATATTGAATGGTGCTGCCGCCGCCGCCGCCGCCGCAGCGGGAGCAGCCAACAAATTTCCGCATCTGACGGCCAAGCCGGCGACGGCAACGAGCTCTGCGGGCGGCGGCGGAGGATTGGGTGGCATTACATTTACCCTGAAACAGCAGCAGCAACAACAGCAGCAGCAGAAGCTCATCGACAATGTCATCATGTCCAAGATACCCAAAAGTCTTACGGTGATACCACAGAATATGGGTGGCGGCGGAGGATTAGGAGGAGCAGCAGCCAATGATGCCGGCGGCCACAAAGATTGATGATTGGCCTGATGCCGGATAGAACTACAGATAGAACTCAATCCTGCCAGTGAGAGAAAAGCGAATCAACCAGAAACTAATAAGCATAAGAGAAACCAGAACGAGGCGGAGCAGCTGCAGGAGCAGGAGCAGGAGAAGAACAAGCAAAAGCAAATGCATTTCAAAAGATATATAATAATATAAGCGAAACGTGAGAGAGCGAGAAAGAGCGAGGTAGTGCGAGAGATGGAGACAGAGAGAGAGAGAGAGACAGAGAGAGAGAGAGGGAGAAAAGGTAGGGAGGGAGGTATATTGGATGGATCAGAGATCAGAGTCAGGGTGTTTTTTGATTAGGTTTTAGAATAAAACATATATATTCCATAAGAACACAACCACAAGAGAAGCGAAGATGCGAAGAAGAAGCAGAAGAAGAAGGGAACACGAAAATGAAAAACAAAACAAAAAAACATGCAAGAACTTAAAAATAAAGAGTACTAGGGTTACGCATAAGAGTATACCATAAATACATATATATACATATATATATATATATACATACACGCAGATGTATATATATATATATATATATATATATATATATATATAGAGCTAGAGTTGAAAACTATACAAATAGATGCGAAAGGGGAGTGAAGGGAATTGAAGCGAGGAGAAAGAAGCAGTTAAACAAAACAGTAAAGAAAAGAACACGATTTGCTGCTGGATTAGACTTATTTATGCGTTTTATGGTCTACATATATATCTATATATAGGGTAGGCACATATACTTGGTAGTATTTAGTATTATATTAGTTGAGGGGAGGGGGGGGGCATGTGTTTTAACTAATTGATCATGTTTTTTTTTCTAACTTAAGTGAGCCTTTAAAGTTAACATCCTTACGCTATAGAACAGAACAGATATATACCATACCATAATACTATATACATACATATGCATACATATGCATACATATGTATATATATATATATAAATATGAATACATACATACATATATCTCCTCCGCATACACGCATATATATATATATATATATATTTTTTTATTCGATTTTAAAGCACATCAAACAAGAGTAAGGAAAACAAACTGGGCATTCGTGTATTATAGATACCAAATTGCTAGTGGTTAGCATACAGGCAAACATAATATAGTAATATATATATATATATATATACATATATATTCATTCAGAGACAGACAAAGAAGACAGAGGAAGTTAGAGAGAGTTGGTGTGGAAAGAAGCTGGTGCACAAACTAAATGCTGCCAAAATCTGTATCATTCAATCATCATCAACACATTATTTTTGTATATCCTCCCAATATCCCAGGCTCAGGTCCCAGCTGTTGTGGCTGGACTTGGGTTTTTGGGGGCTTTATTGTATTATTAGAGCTACGCATGGATGCTCTTTCGGGGCTTTAGTTTGTGCAATCTGTCTAAACTGTCTGTTTACATTTGGTTTCTTCATTTACACACACACACACACCCATACACACACACATATATACACCATAACTTACCACTAGAAATAGTTACTTTTCTTTTTAAGCATAAACTTTTTTTTTTTAATATTATTTAATTACAACTTACACAGCGACTACAAATCGAAAAGAAAGCATAAGAAAAAGAGTTGAAAGGGGGAAATACCTAAATTACATATAGAAATTATTTTTCAATTATACACATACATACATACATACATATATAGACATATATGTATATAACTAATTTATGTTTCATTTCAATTATTATTTGTAAATATTTATACAGACATAAACGTAAACGTAAACAACGAGAAAACACAAAACACAACAAATAATCAATAAAAAACATATAAAAACAAATTATTTTCAACGATTTCATGTTCCGTTTCCATTTCGTTCCATGCGCGTTCACTGCGGCTCTTAATGCCATGCTTCTAGTTCTAGGCTTCGGTTGTTATCGTTATCGTTATCGTTATCGCTTATCGATAGGGCAACAAGACGATCAAATCAATTAGCAAAACAAATTGAAAACAAAAAAAAAACAATACAAAATGGCACTCAAATTGAAAGCTTTCAAAATACAAAAAAAATTATATAGAGATACATATATATTTGAACATATTTTAAACAGAGATATAATTGTGAATTAGCTCGTTAAGCATAGTTATATATACATATATATACATATATATATATATATATATATAAATATTTATATAGTTATATCTATATATATATATATTTATATTGAAATTCAATGTTGTTGTTGTTGGAAACATTGAAAATGTATTTATAAACACACAAAAAAACAAAATGAAACATACAAAAATCAAATTATGAATGTTGAGTATATTTCGGTTGTCGTCGTTTTGCCTACGAAAAACAAAGAATGATAAAGAGAGTAAATGCATATTTATTTATAGATCTATATGTATACACATACATACATATATATATATATTTATGTACTTTTTCAACTGTTGCGCGTGTCAGTGTCAATATGGCATGGGTCCTACGAACCCGAAAATGGACCAAAACTGATGCACGTTTGCCTTTACGAGCTTGCTCTTTAGTTTTGTGCGTGCATGTGTGTGTGTGTGAGTGTGTGTGTGTGTGTGTGTGTGTGAGGGAATTGTATTATGCACTTAAACTAATTACAACTTGTATACCAATTATACTTACATTTATTTATGCATTAGTTTCAGTTATTTAAACATAAGCAAAGATCCGAATTAGCTGCGATCTCCAGTCTTTTGTTACCGAAAGAGAAAAACGTTTTCAAAATAAATCCCATACGATAAGTAATACTATATAATACGCGTGGTTTTATTTATGATACTTTCAGCTATTTTAAGGTATTGTGTTTAGGTTTAATAGTCGAAAGTTTGGTGTTATCAGAAGAAAAGCTTCCATTTATGATATTTATATTGAAGTTCCGAAGAATCCACAGACTGAGGGCAGTCAAAGCAACTGCGATCATAATCAGGATCATTCAGAGAGAATATTCGGAATATAATCAGATAAGTAATAGCTGATCAAGTATTGTACAAAAGAAACACTATGAAGATCCGTTTTGAGTGGTCTTTAGAGGACTTGTAACATCTCTTGCGAAATAATATTGGAAAACTGAATCCCAATTTCGTTTGCTGATTAACGATATTCGATGCCTTTTATAATAATCAAAGACCTATAAGTTATAAATATAAATGGTCCTTCACAATTCTGATGATATTGATGGTTCCTGGATAAAGATCTTCGGAAAAAAGCAACTCAAAAATCAGCCAATATTCAAGCATCTCACAGATCTATGCCAGATCCTATTCAATGCCGAATCGTTATATGAAGCACATATTCTAATCGCTTAAGCATTAGTCGAAATGAGCAAGAAGCAGGCGGCTTCACATCTGTTGCCGCCTTTTTGGCCAAGGCTCTTGGCCGAGATATTCTAAAAAATTATCAAAAAAAGTTGACTTTACAAACGAATCGGTTTTTGGTTTACCACTCTTTTTAACCCATCGATTTTTAAAATGTCAATTGATAGAAGGGATTCGTACGAATTCAAAAAGGTATAACATTTCAAAATCTGACATTATTTGGCTGAGATATTAAAAAAATCATAAAAAAAAATGATCTGCATGTTACATACATTTGCACAAATACATTATACCCCTTTCAACCATTGAAATGACAATCCCTTTTGAGCGTAAGCCAAGAGCTTGGTTGCGACTTCAGTTCAATTGCTCACAACTGAGCTCCAAACGCTCTGCTATACTTTTTATCAAAATTTTGACTGTTCCGTGTTTAGTTTTCTGGCGCAAAATGTTTCAAATATCGTTTTCCCAAGTGAAATTGGCGTTGTATAGTAAAACACAATATCACCAAATAAACGTTTTATTTCACATTCTCGTATATGCATGGATATATGTGTGTGTGTGTGTGTAGGTGTGTGTGTGTGTGTGTGTGTGTGTGTAAGTGTGAGTGTGTGTATTAATTGGTAAATCATAGTCAAGACTTTCCATTGTTGAATGTTAAATTCGTAATGTTTTGTTTTGAGTGCTGAAAAGTGAGTTACTAAGAAAACAAGATATGAATAAATAAAAGAAATGTATGAATAATATATATATATACGAGTAGTTTTGGATGAATAAATAGCTATATATTTATATATATATGTATGCATTTATATATAAATAGTTTACTTTATTGGCTGGTTTCATTTGTTTTTGTTGTTTTTTATGCCAGATCTCGCTGCCTTTAATCCAAGTTTAAGGTTAAGTCCTCTCTCGCTCTCGCTCTCGCCCTCCCTCTCTCTATCTCTTTCTTTTGTTTGTGTGCTGTTTGTGTACCCCTCTCTCTCTCTCTCTCTCTCTCTCTCTGTCTCTCTGTCTCTGTCTTGCTTACTGCAACGCACTATCTATCTATCTCTCTCTGTCTGATTGTGCCTCTATAAAAATTCGTCCTGCGCTACTTTTCTAACAATTTTGTGTGTTTCTTGTTGTTTCGAATTTGTTCTTATTAATTTTGTATTTGTTTTGTTTGTTTTTTTTTTGTTTTTTTTGTTTTTTTATTAACATAAATTTCAAAAAATAATGTTTTTAGATGTTGTTGTATGTTGTTTTCTTTTGGATATTCGATATGCATTTTGTTTTCCATTCTCTGTTTGACAATCGGCTTGAAGAAGATGTATGTAATGTAATGTATGATATACATCGAGATATATATATATGCCAACACATATATATATATATATATATATATATATGCATGGTAAGTACAATATATAATTTGCAAAAAGATTATAATTTCTTTTCTCTTGAATTTTTTAAGCTTTACGAGTGTAGCATAATAATAAATCTATGTTTATTAATATTATTATTATTTAAAGTTTATCAATTATTATATGATTTTTTCTTTTTTGTTTGGGGCTAAGTGGCGCCCGCTGCACATAGGGACGAGTATGTTTTGAGTTGAGTGTGTGCGGTGTGTGTTGTGTGTGTTGGTGTGTGTTTGTGTGTGTGTGTGTGAGTGTTTAGAGTGTAGAGTGGATGATCGTGGGGTTTACAAATCGGTCTCGCCATAGAGAGCTGTGCTGAAGGACATGTAGTCCAGGGCGCCGGGCACTCCATTGGGTCCCTTATATGGCGGCATGCGCTGGATGCAGTATTCGGCCTGGTCTGGTGGCAATTCGCGGCGCAGCTCGTCGGGCAATATGTATGGCTGAAAGAATTGATATAGGATAGAATAGGATTAGAATCGATCAAGTTTGTGTATCTTGTCGGCTACTAACCTTGTCGGCTGCCAGGATTCTGAACGAATCAATGACTTGTTCGGCGGTGTCGGTGTCGGTGCTCTCGCGGGTCATGAAGTCGAGGAAGGCATCAAAGTGCACATAGCCGGTGCTGTTGGGATCGACAACGGCCAGTATGCGCTGGAAGTCCATGTCGCCCTGGCGATCCTTGCCAATCGAATAGCCCAGCGAGACGAGGCACGATTTGAACTCCTCGGGCGTGAGGCGGCCGGTGCGATTCTTGTCAAAATGATTGAAGCTGGA